ACTTCCTGAGAATCTAAACAGTGGCAAATGCAAAGTACCTCATGTTATTTTTAAGTATGCCATTTATCAATTATTTGAAAAATCCTTAGTAAATGACTACTATGTGCCAGCACTTCATTTCTACATAAGACAGTGCAGCATGTCAGCCTCAAACCAGGAGCTCCCCTGAAGGAGTCCATGGAGATTAAATGCCTTGGTGCTTCCCAGTTTATTAGAGCAAACTTCGATTTTTACTTTTGACACAACCAAAATGTGTCTGCTATAATATGACCAGATCACATCTTTTGACCAAATTCCTTGAGTTCATGCTCCTACATTCCACTGCTCTGAGCCCTCAACTATTTTCACAGTTCCCTAACCAAGTGAAATACAGTATCAGAAGAGACCCTTACGTGGGAAAAAAAGCATCAAAAGAACAGTCTATCCTACATAAAATAAGAATGTTGAAAGGAAAGAAACTCAGACCAAGCATTGGTTTCAAAAACCTGGCACTCTCACCCAAAAATCCACTTCCTTCTGTTGCCAGACTCAATACAGCTCCATCCCCTATTCTACATCTGACTTAAGCATTTTTGTATTCTTATACAAAATTTCAAATTCCTCCCCAAATTGTGCCTACTTTGCCACTAGATGGTGACAAGGTAACTCTTCTGAGGCAGCTGTTAACCTGAGTAAACTAAATCTCTCTTAACCAGCTGGATTAATCCAGATATTCAGGAATTGAGCAGATCAAGCATGTTGTTAATAAGCATGTGTAACAGGAACGAAATCTATACATGAACACACATTCTTGGTATGTCTGGCTTCCGTCCCCCACCACCATGAAGGCAGGGGTTCTTGCTCACTGGTCAATGCAACCCCTTGGTGCTGGAATTCAGGCATTTGGACCTAGCAGGAAGCACCAGACCACATCAACCAGGGTGCTGGTATAGCAGGGATCACAACTTCTGAGGAAGAACAGGATAAGCAGTATTGTGCAGGGTAGAGAAAGTGAATAAAGTAAGAGCAGGTCAGTGAGGGGACTTTGCAGATGAAAAAGAGGGAACTGCTTTAGTCTGCTTCCCTAAGTATGAAATTTGGGGAGTGAAAATTTTTAAATGCAACAGACAAAATGTGGAGAATTCTCTAGGAGGTGGACCTCATTCTCCTGCTGAGTGTGGGCTGGACTTAATGACTCAAAGAATACAGAATGGAAACGGAAAAAAATAGTAACTTTACAGTTACTGGCAAAAAGCACCTTAACTAAGTGATGAAAGTTGACATCACCAGTGACAAGTCATGTTGACATCATGTACCCGCCCTCCTTCTCTTCCTTCCTTCCTCCCTCTCTTCCTTCCTTCCTTCCTTCCTTTCATAACTAAAATTGGCTCGTCAACAGAATGCTGGTAACAATAATCAGGGAAATCCAAAACCACAAGTGTTTGAATGAAATCTAAGCAATATAAATAAAATTTCAAATTTCAAGCCCTTGAAATTTTTAAGAATTTCATTTAGTTCTAAGAGAAGTTGCATCTACATTCCCATTATATTTCTATTGGCCTCTCCCTTCCCAAGTAAGAATATTGAAACATATCTCAGTAATTTCTAGGACCTAAAAGCCCTGAGTTTATACGTCGTGACCTTGATTTCAGGTAAGGAAAATAAGAACCTATAAGGTTTTCATATGCCCACAACTTTCACAGCTGCAGCCCTGGGTGGGTTTTCAGGCTGAACATATAATACCTCAGACATCATTTTGAATCTTTTCTTCTTCTCCTTGAAAATAAGGTTGTTTCATTGAGCATGATCCTACTCTGTCCTATGTCTTGCCACCCATCTTGTGATGTAGTGGGAAAATAATTGGATTTTAGAGTCCAAAGACCACGAAAGACTATAATTGAAGCTCTGGATATACCCTTCCTATTCCCACCATTATGAATCATTTACTTAGCTTTTTTATACCTTAACTTTCTCAACAACATAATTGGTGCAATAATGCCTACGTTACCAAACAGTTTGGGATGCGCTTATAAAACATGTGTAAATGTAGCCCATACAGAGCTGTGCTTGTAGTAGTTGAAAGTTGAATGGCAATACTTCTAAGTCATAGCTACCACAGAGGGTATTGCAGGATATTGTAAAGACACCTGCCCTTCATTTCAGAAAGTGGCCATTTTTTTGCAGAGATTTAAATGCCCCTCCCTTTCCTGTAATAGGCTGAGAACAGTGGGAGATGCAGGACCTTGAGTGTTGATATTAGAGAGCCTGGAAGTTATCATTTCTTGAAAAAAGAAACCAAAACAACATTTTTTTAAAAATTCCTGGCTACTAAGTATTCAGTGGTGGAGATTTAGCAGAGCATAGTGGAGTCAGCAAAACTCTAAATCCACAGCATTACTAAAAACTGTGCCTAAGGAGAACTTTAGGCAAATAACTAAGCAAAGACTGGAGATTGTCTTCAAGTAGCAAAAATGTTTCTAACACAAAGACAATGCGTCCAACACAGAGGTGGGGAAAACAAAGACAGTGTGGGACAACCAAGAAACAAATTGGCAGAACTTTATTAATACTAGAAAATAAAATAGACTACTCACTTACCTTTCTTAGTGAGGAGAAACTGGATATCTACATTAGCACTTCCTATCTATCCTTTAGATAGAGAGGAAGAGAGGAAGATAGACAGACTGACTGCATATACTGTATATATTTAGAAGTATTTTTTTAAAAAAATTCATCATACAAAACTTGAAAAATATAAAGAAAATTAATTAATACTTACCACCTAAAAATAATTATGTTTACATTTTTATATATTTCCTTTTAGATTTTTTTCATATATACTTATTATTATAAAAATTGGTATTGTACTATCATGTTTTATTCTTATTTTACTTGGGCCATATGAAAAGTTCTATGATTATCTATCTAGAGTGTAAATAACCACATACTGTTTCATCATAAAATATATACTATTGTATATATTTATGGCATACCACAAGTTATTTAACTAAGGTAACAGAGACCAAAAACACAGTGCCTAAAAGAATAAAGATTGTATTTCTCTCATAAACAGTCCTGGAGTTCAGGCTTAAGTAGTCAAGAGTTGGTATGGAAACACCACAGCACCAGGAACCAGAGAGCCAACTCTAAGATGGATAACTACTCTACTATCCCTGAGCAGTCACCTCACTGTACAGTCTAAAATAGATAACCACGACATCAGCACTCTGAGCCAGAAGAAATAAAAAAAAGAGGAAAGCAGAAAGAGAGGGTATAACTGCTCTAAGGCCACCACCTAAAAACTACAGACATCACTTCTCACACACTATTCGCAGAATTTGATCATGTGGCAGTACCTACTTATAGTAGGAAGCTGTAGTGTAACTAGCTGCAAAAATTCGGTACAGCTAACAATTTTATTACTGTAGAAGAGAGGAGAGAGAACAGATGCTGGGGGGCCAATGATGTTTTCTCCCATTCATTTTAACTTATGACATAGGGTACGTTTAATCACTCAACAATCCTTTTTATCTCTCAATGTTCATATTCTAACATGATGAATACCTCCAATTTTATTACAATAATATACTGGTTTCAGTAACCCTAACTATATATTGTAGTTAATATTCTGGTTACTAGAATGCAAAAAGTCAGGTAATTTATAAAATGTGAAGATTTATTTATTTTTATGTAAATATTACATAAGCATTTTATGAACACCAAAAAATTATACAAATGCAAGTTATTATTCCCCAATTCCCAGTCCAAATCTTGTCAGATTTCTGTTCCTTTGGATGCACAGTCCTTCTGTTCCAACCCCAGAAACAGTGTTGTCCCAGAGAAGAATCGTGCTATGCACACATGCATAAACATGAAATAAATTCACCAAAAGTCAAGCACTTCCATAACCAGCCCAATGCCTCCTTTTGCTTTCCACCATATTCCACATCACATGGTAAAGTAGAGTACTTTGTAAATTTTCACTCAGATAATGTTAATATCCCTATTTGGCACTTGCTGTTGAACTCAGGCTAGCTTATGGATTTTAAGACCCTTGAAACTATTCCAGATTCAACTTTTTTAATACTAATCACTTCTCTCCAGCCATCAGCTCTGACCCTTTCCTCCTTTCCAGAGAAAGCCTGGAAATTCAGTCCTAAGGGCTCCTTGGTAGTAAGAGCTCAGTCAATACCACCCAGCAAGTGTGAGGACCCTTTTACTCCCTTTCCCCACAACAGACACCTATTTCTTTGTTTGGGGGGGGAAGACAGAGTCTCACTTTGTCACCCTCAGTAGAGTGCTGTGAGATCACAGCTCACAGCAACATCAAACTCTAGGGCTCAAGTGATCCTCTTGCCTCAGCCTACCAAGTAGCAGGGACTACAGGCACCTGCCACAATGCCCAGCTATTTTTAAAGATGAGGTCTCACTATGGCTTAGGCTGGTCTCCAACCCATAAGCTCAGGCAATCCACCCACCTGGGGCTTCCAGAGTACTAGGATGATAGGCATGTGCCACCACACCGGGGCCCCCCCTTTTCTTTTCACCCTTTTCTTTTCCTCCTTTTCTCTCTGAAACCTTCCTTTTTTCCTTTTCTTATAACAACCCTAGCTTTGGCTAGGGGCTCCCAGTGACCATTTACCCATTGCCGAACACTTACCCAGGGTTCCTCAGTTAAACATAAAAATTTAACCAATCATGTCCACCACAATATATTCCTTAATTTGAGAGAATTTTTCCTTAAGCTTCAGTAGCCAATGGAAAAGGTGGTGATTTCTATTATCCAGGGATGCAAAATACATGGTAAGCAATGCCTCCAATAAGTTCCCTAGAAACTGTGACTTATTTAAAAATATCAACAAAAGAAAAATTACAGAGTGAAATGAAATACAGGCACTCAAAGGCCTAGGATGGCAGATCAGCAATCACAATTCCTCAGACTACTAAGAAATATGCTAACAGAGAAAATCTTACTCCAAACCATGAGGTAACACAAGACAGTATTTCCTACTAAAATTCCACTATTTGTGGAGACAAAGAATCTTCTTTGCTTTTATTTTCAGTTTAGGATGTGTGATAATAATGAGAACAGAATGTCCTGGAGAGTAAAGGGTGGTGAAAATCGCACAAATGCTTCTGGTCCCCAAATCCAACTCTATGTAAGAAGGGAGGTAATGGAGGAGGGCAGCAATACAATATGGAATGTAGAGGATGAGGAAAGAGATCATCAGCTTCATAGCACCTACATGAGCTTCCATTTGGGGATTCCACAAATCAGTGGCATTTCTCTGCATCTTCTGTACATGTCTCCTCAAGGAATGGATTAACAAAGAAGCAGAAGTCACATTGATGACCAACTGGAGAAATGAGCTCAAGACCAAAGAGGCCACCAAAGGCAAGATGCCTTTGTCAAATAATGTGCCATTTCTACTAGTCACAAATTCAGGAAAACGTGATGTTTCGCTGAGCACAACGTACAGGAGAGACGTGAAGGCAGAAATCAGCACACAGGCCAGCAGCAGCCTGGGAATCTTTGGGGAGATAGTTCGTTTGAGCAGGAGAAACACCGCATGTTGGAAGTTAGTAATCTTCACACAGTACAAGCTGTTGAGCAAGGTCACAAACCAGAGACTGCTAGAATCCAAAAACATCCAACAAAACACAAAGAAAGAGGAAAACGACACTGACCTTGAAAAATCTGAAGAGAATAACAAGATAATATTCAGGAAAAACAATCCCTGCATAAGAAATCTGGTGATGCTCAAGCTGAACAGGATCCTATCAGAAGAGGAGATTCTGTGGCTTTTGACCCACATTTTGTAACTGACCACTGTAATAAAAAAACTCATAATGATTCCTACAAAATTAAAAATAACTGAGACAATAATAGCGGAGAAATAGTACACTTGCTGCATCGTCACTCCTTGAGGATTCAGCAACTATGGTGTTGATGGTGGGGACAGAAGAAACACTGGAATGTATAATCAGGCACTGGTATCCAGCCAGGAAGGATGGCTCCTTTTCTATTTTTCCCCAGCATAGAAAATTAGCCATTCATACTCTAAGAGCCAGCTGCTTTTACTGAGATGCAAATCTTCCAAGGATTGCATTACCATTTCTTCATTCATATCCTGTTTTCCTTAGAAATGCCTAATTACAATAAGCCTAGGTGGACTCAGGAATCTATTCCTCTAAGAGGAGCAGGACTAGAGAGAGGAGTCATAGCAGGCTCTAGGGACTTCAAATCCAAATTCAAATTAGAGAGCTCCAGTCCAGCATTGTTTCTGTCAATGTCTCACAGCAAACATAATTTTCCTTCATAGCCACCCAAGAATAGATGAGACTCCCCATACTCACTCCTCCCCACCCACCTCCTATCCACATGTCCATGGATTATCAGAATCCAACCTCTCTCTTCTCTCCCTTCTAATCTGTTGCTGCTGCAGCCATTTCCTCAAACTGTCATTCTGGCCAAACCAATGTCACTCCTCCAACCCTTGACACCTACAGCGATTGATAGTTATCTAATAGATTAAATTCAAGGACCTAGCACCTCCTTAAGAAAGCCTTTTTCAATTAATCCCGTCCTTTGCGATGTTTCCTGTGCTTTGCATTCTCCATCTACATACACAGATTTATGCCATAACTGTTTGCTGTGTTGTTTTGCTTAGGAAAAAAAAAAGTGCTTTCTTTATTAGTCTGGGTTTATGTTTAGATTACATGTGGCTATTTCCCCTGAGGCATTTAACTATCAATTAAAGGACCCTGGTGTGAGATACATAGTAATGCTTTAGTTGTACCTTTGCAGGACAAATAGCTAGACATATCATTGCCTGATTTCTCTGTAATTGCTTACATAGTAAAGGTCATGCTATGCCTGGAAAATGATATTATGGAGGGCTATAGATGAATGCAAGAGTATGGCATCTGTTATCTACTCTAGCAGTTGAGTGAAATCAAGGTGCAATCCTGTTTCAGCCACATTTATGTCACCAAATCACACCAGAATACAGCAGAACTAAGATATGTTGAAAAATAGGTCCAAAGAGGGGAGTAAATTCATGAGTTCCTTTAAGACAGACAACAGGAAGGTTAGCCTGGAGAAATTCCCTGACCTGGAGCCCAGGAGCTTATTGAAGGATTTTATACAAAACAATTGCCACTGGGCAGCACCTGTGGCTCAAAGGAGTAGGGCGCTGGCCCCATATACCGGAGGTGGTGGGTTCAAACCCTGCCCTGGCCAAAAATAAAACCAAAAAAACTGCAAAACAATTGCCACTGAAAGGGGCATTCCCAGATCAGCTGAACAGGCAAAAAGAGTGAATTAGCAAGGCCATGACTACAGGAAAACTCATACCACAGATTTCTAATTAATTATCTAACAAATACATGACTGCATTAAGGTAATTAAGCTGAAATACAACATCACATTCAACTGTCACATTTAACTTCATAAATAACATAAATAAAATATAAGAAATAAATGCTCTTAAAAAAAGGGAAAAATGAGCAACACCTGTGGCTCAAAGGAGTAGGGTGCCAGCCCCACATACCAGAGGTGGCAGGTTCAAACCCAGCCCCTGCCAAAAACTGCAAAAAAAAGGGGAGGGGGAAGTATAGTATCAGTAATAGACCCAACCATATCTTGAGTATGTTACATCAATTTATTGGATTCTCAGTAGCAGAAAGTACTGTAAGATGTGATCAGGTTAGCTAGAATGAGTAAGCTGGTTCTGTTAGAAGTTATTTCTGAAAGGGTCAATGTAAGAAAAGGGTTAATAGAACCTTTCTCCTTCTGCATGAGAACTTCATCTTCTGTTAATCTTTCTAGCTCTATTCTCCTTGTCCATTTGGTAACAGTAAGAACATCCTATGTTTTTAGACCAAAACAAAAAACAAAAATGAAAAATAAAAACCCTGATTGGCATCTTGATTAAAGGAAATACAACTGAACTATAACTACCTTATGGAAACATGTAGGGAAAATTGTGCCCTGATCTTTAGCATAGACTTGCTTCCTGCTTGAGAGACCTAAAGAATAAGAATGGCATGTGAGTTGTGTACATGCAAAAGTCAGAAAACTGGCCCCCAAGAGAGAATGTATATGTGAGGTGTGGCAATACCAGGCCTAATGTTTATGGTAAAGGTTCTCTATATTCCAAAGGTCTCTTGACTCTGAAAGCAGAGATCTTGCTTAAGGTCTGTGGTTTTGCAACATCAAGTTGGAGACTTTCTGTCTGATACTTTCCCTGTTCCCCGTTTTTAGTGTTAATGTCTGATAAGTAACTTTAACTACTTTTTTCCTGCATTGTGATAATAAATACTGATCCAAAGTTTACTCAGGACTCCTGAGTTCCTCAGTCCCCTAGCACACACTCTGTATCAAGCCTCTTCATTCCTGATGTTAAAACCCCTTCAGAAACTGCATGCTTTGGGCTTACCTAAGTATGGTGACTCTTCTTATATGTGTGTCCCTTGAAATGACCTTAGAAGCTATGTCTATGAAATGATTACAAGAGTAAAACAACTTTCAGTCCAGGATACTGTGTCTAGCTAAACTGAGTTTCATTTGTGATGGAGAAATCAACTACTTTACAGATATACACATGTTGAGGAAATTTGCCATAACTAAACCAACTCTCCAGGAAATACTCAGAACCATTTTCCATAATGACCAGCACAATGGTATATCACCAAAGTAAACTCACCCAGAATTTATCAAACAAAACCTAATGTCTATAATGGTGAAATAATTAAAAATATCTGCTGGACCTTTGAAAAACATGACAGCCAAAATGCTACCTATCAATTCTTTCAATTAATGTGAAGGGCTTAAATTGTCCTCTGAAGATGCACAGGTTGGCTGATTGGATACAAAAACAGGCCAGGTACCTGTTGCCTACAAATGACTCATGGTACCTCAAAGGATAAAAAAAGACTCAGGGTAAAGGGATGAGCATCTATAATACAGGGAAACAGAAATCAGAAAAAAGTAGTGGTTGCAATTTTATTTCTGACACAATAGGATTTTAACAAACAAAGATAAGGAAAGACAAGGATGATCACTACATATTTTTCAAGAGAAACACTCAACATGAAGAGATTTCAATAATTAACATTTATGCATCCAACCTAAATGTTTCTCAATTTATAAGCAAACCCTAACAGATATGACCAATGTGGTATCTTCTTGCATTATAATAGGTAGAGATTTTAGCACCCTTTGTCAGTTCTGGAAGGATTCTCCCAGAAGAAACTAAACAAAGTAATGATAGACTTAAACTTGACCTTAGAACAAATGACTTACAGACATCTACAGAACATTTCATCCTAATAAAACTGAATACACATTCTTCTCATCAGCCCATGGATCATCTTCCAAAATTGATCATATCTTAGGACATAAGTCTAATCTCAACTAATTTAAATGAATATAAATTTTTCCTTGTGTCTTCTTGGACCATGATGGAATAAAAATTGAGCTCAACAGTAACAAAAATCTTTATACTCAAACAAAGTCATGGAAACTAAATAACCTTAGGCTGAATGATAGTGGTTAAAGATGAGATTAAGAAGAAATCATCAAATTTCTGGAACAAAATGATAATGAAGACACAAATTATAAAAACCTACAGGATACTGAAAAGGGAGTTCTGAGAGGGAAATTTATAGCATAAGAAGCCTTCATCCAAAAAAAAAAAAAAAAAACAGAAAGAGAGGAAGTCAACAAACTAATGGGACATCTAAAGCAACTGGAAAAGGAAGAACAATCCAACCCCAAATTCAACAGAAGAAAAGAAATAACCAAAATTAGAGCAGAACTAAATGAAATTGAAAACAAAAGAATCATTTAGAAGATGAACGAAACAAAAAGTTGGTTCTTTGAAAAGATGAATAAAACTGATAAACTTTTGCCTAACCTAACCAGAAAAAGAAAAAGAAAATCTTTAATAATGTCAATCAGAAATAATAGAGGAGAAATAACAATAGATACCACAGAAATTCAAAAAATCCTCAATGATTACTACAAAAAACTCTATTCTTAGAATTATGATAATCTGGAGGAAATTGACCAATACCTGAAAGCACACCACCTTCCTAGTTTAGGAGACCAGATGATTCAAAGGAAGGGGAAGTGAAAGTTAAGCTTTAAACGTTCTGTAACTGTAAGAAACACCTGTAATATAACATCTTGATAACACCTTGGTGATAAGGGCATGGGGAAGGGATTTGGCTCTCCTTAACACAAGAGCGTGAGCATCAGTGCTTGGCAGCCTCCACACCTATGATATAAATACCCACAGGATCAGTTCTATAAGTAGCTACAGGAAAGGTTATTCCGGACTCATTTATTCTCTCATGGACTCGCTCACTCTAACACTTTTGCTCCTCCTGATCAGAGGGCACCTGCCCAGAGTCCTTCTCCAAAGACTGCTAAGATTCACTCTCCTACTAAGACTGTTTCTCTCTCACTCTCTCCTGCTAAGACGATTGCCCTATGTCACCTAGGGGGAGCTGATCCCAAACAGGGTAGCACAGTGGTCCACATCCAGACAGTTTCATAGTACAGGAAGAGAGCTGAGATTAACTCTACCTCATGGCACTAGAGAAGTGTTTGTATTTTCTGCCTCAGCAGCCTTTTCTCCTCTGGCTTCTAATGAGAGGTCCTCTGCTGTTGAGTGCCACAGCCTACAGACTGAGTTTGTTCTTATGCTTTGCTCCCACTAACTGAAAACTGGGAGCTTTTAACCAGTCCTCAAAGTAGGGATATCCAGGTTCTCACCTTCCCTACTTGCATACCCTTCCTCTCTCCCTCTTCTCCACACTACATTCCATGGGAGCTAGAAGGTGCAGGCTTCCCCTTATCTTGTGACCTCTCATATCATCACTAACAACATGCCTCATGGATTTACCA